CATTGTACCCAGAATCGCCCAAAGGGTTGTCAGGAATGTTAAAGTGCTGTGTCGTGCCAGGAAAATTACACACAATTAATAAATTGATTTCCTTAGAATTAGGTGTTCAATCAAACGTAAATGAAAATCTGAGGGAAAATGACACGAGTGATATGGAAGATAACGCAGGCCAAGTGATGTCGGAAGATGAAATCGTAGTAAGACCTACTAGGAGAACAGCCACTCAAGCCAGAACTGGCTGGAATCGTCCCCCTAAAGGAAGGAGTAATTTGAATCGTTTAGCAACGAACTTCGGCCGGCTGCAGTGTGGAAAATACTGTATATATTTTCCAGAAATTCAGTATTTGTATGTAAATAGATGGCCATACTGTATTTAATAATATTTATGTCATAGAAAACGGAAAGCCTGCGTCAGCGCAGACGAGACTCGCCATCTTGGTTTTGAATTGGAATACAACGTTTTGTGTAATGGAAGGAATTTCCGTGCTCTAGAGGTTAAAATTGGGCTGACACCTCTCAAATAGAGGGGAAATTGTTGGACATGCATTCCGCATAACTTTAGAATATCAGACGACTGGACAAGACAGCTCCAGGAACCCCAGATAAGCTCTCTAGAAATTTGTATATAATTCTGCCAGGGTTTTCATAAATTTAGTTAGTGAAGTTTTCCCGAGTATGATACAACTTAAAATCCAGTCAAATTGGTGAGTGATATTTAAGATATATTTTCCTTCTGTTATGTAATTGTGTAAATATATAACCATTTATATTTTAATATAGTCCACAAATTTATATATTTACCAGTATTCCTGGTGTATGTATATTTCATTTAATTAATAGATCCAGAGCAACTTGTGGTTATGACAGTGGTAGGTATCGAAGGGGGACATTTTTTTGCGACCTAGGTGTCCCAAATTCCTACTTGTCTATGAAACATGATAAATAATAATTATCTTTGTTATCATTTACTGTTATGTACATATTAGTTACATTCAGATAAATGCAATTTTCCACAAATGATTTTTGAAAAATTATTGCATACACAAATTTTCACATGCCTTATTCGGCAAGAAAAACATTGCTATTTAAGCCAAAATAGCAAGTTTTACCTATTCGGCACACACACACACCACACACACACACCCACACACACACACACACACACACACACACAACACAACACACACACACACACACACATATATATATATATATATATATATATAATATATATATATATATAATATATATATATATATATATATGTCGTGCCGAATAGGCAGAACTTGCAATCTTGGCTTAAATAGCAATGCTCATCTTGCCATATAGGACAAGTGAAAATTTGTGTATGCAATAATTTCGCCAAAATCATTCTGAACCTAACGAAAAAAATATGTTTCACTGTGTTTGTTTAGTATTAAATTATTGTAAACAAATCTAAAATATATTTAGTTGGGTTAGGCTAAAATAAATTGTTCTTGTTATAACAAGGTTATGTAAGTTTTCTAAGATTCTTTGGTGCAAATTTTATTTTTTTTTACATTAACATTAATGAAAAAAATATATCTTTATATGTATAAGAGAAAATTTTAGAAAGGACTTAATTTTAAATGTAAATGAGTTCTTGCTAACTGACCAGTTTTACATATTCGGCACGACATATATATAAAAAATTATATATATATATAATTTTAAATATATATATATATATATAATATATATATATGTTTCCTTACATCTGCTGTCATTGTTCACCTGGTAGTAAGTAGGTATCTGGGTGTTAGTCGACTGGTGTGGGTCGCATCCTATGGACAAAATTTATCTAATTTACCTCGAAATGCTCTGCAATAGCAAGGGGCTTTCTATATAGTATGTAATATGTTAAGAGCAGAGGGGCTTCCGTTAGTTAGTTTAATATCTTTATTATGCACCCCATACCCATCCTGTGGGCAGTAGTCAAAGGATTACAAAGGTACATAATGGGCCCAGGGACTGGACCCCAAAGATATGATAGCTGAACTAGTTACAAAGGTAATGAACTCCAAGTAGATCTGCTGCCAGGTACAATAACACAGCATCGCCTACACCTCACACCGCCATTTGTATGGTCCTGAATATATCCAGTTATCTGATAATATATATATATATATATATATATTATATATTATATAATATATATATATATATATATAAATATATATATATATATACCGACACTTGTATGATACTGATTATTATCGTGGGAGAGCGCTAATCCCGTAGGGATTATACAGCGCCTGAGGGTAAAAGGGATGGAAGGTATTCAGGCTCACCTAAGTAAGTTTATTCAGGTATACACAAATACAGTTACATAGATTATCATACATAGCAGCATATGTGTAGAGAACCTAGGATAACCCAAAAAAGTCAGTGACTTATTTCCATTCAGGGAATTGGAGCAAAGATCCAATTCCCTAGATCAATAGCCCCTCACCAGCATCAAATGAGCCACATCCAGTCACAATTGTATATAAATATAAATATTAAGTGGGGGAACTCCAAGTCATACACCCACGCGAGGGCGCACACACACACGAGGGCGCACACACACGAGGGTGCACACACACGAGGGCGCACACACACACAAGAGCGTGCACACACACACAAGGGCACACACACACACACACGAGGGCGCACAAGACTAGTTCCAGAGCTAAGAGGTATGTCCTACGAGGAGAGGTTAAGGGAAATCGACCTGAAGACACTGGAGGATAGGAGAGATAGGGGGGACATGATAACGACATACAAAATACTGAGAGGAATTGACAAGGTGGACAGACAGAATGTTCCAGAGATGGAACACAGCAACAAGGGGACACAGTTGGAAGTTGAAGACACAGATGAATCACAAGGATGTTAGGAAGTATTTCTTCAGCCACAGAGTAGTCAGGAAGTGGAATAGTTTGGGAAGCGATGTAGTGGAGTCAGAATCCATACATAGCCTTAAGCAGAGGTATGATAAAGCTCACGGTTCAGGGCGCGCGCACACAAGGACGTACACACACGAGGACATACACACACGATTACATACGCACAGAAACAAGACGCTTCCTGACGTGGGTCTCTGAAGAGGTTGTTTGCTCTAACGTCTCTTATTAGTGTTTATGTGTCTCTCTTTTTCCAACATACTTTTTCTCAAAACATTGCTTGCATGGGATAAACACTTGTTTTCGGTTTATTATCCTGGACAGTTAGTAACCCATGAAAGCCACTCGGTGAGGCTTATTTCTCTTGAGGTCATCTGATCCTCATTCCCAGGATGCATTATTATAATCAAGGATTATTATTATTACAATCAAGGGGGAAGCGCTAAACCCGGAGGATTATACAGCGCCTGGGGGGGGATGTGGAAGGCATTCAGGCTTAATTTGGGGAACTGGAGCACAGATCCAATTCCCTAAATCAAGAGCCCCTCACCAACATCATAAAATCAAGGAGAAGCGCTAAATCCGAAGGATCATACAGCGCCTGTGGGGGAATGTGGAAGGTATTCAGGTTTAATTCAGGGAACTGGAGAACAGATCCAATTCCCTAGATCAAGAGCCCTTCACCAGCATCAAGAACCTTCCTTGAGGGGATCCCAGGATGTAACCCCACAACAGTTTACTAACACCCAGGTACCTACTTACGGCTAGGTTAACAGGGGCAACAGGTGTCAAGGAACATGCCAAACATTTTTTCCCCGCTTAAGATTATTATTACAACCAAGGGGAAGCGCTAAACCCGTAGAATTATGCAGCGCCTTGAGGGGATGGATGTGTAAGGTATTCAGGCTTAATTCAGGGAACTGGAGCACAGATCCAATTCCCTAGATCAAGAGCCCCTCCCCAACATCAAGGACCCTTCCTTGAGGGGCCCCCCCACTTCGGAATGAAGCCTAGGACTTCCATTTGTGATCCAATGTTACTGCTGAACCACGAGCTTCAAATATACACCAAGGTTGTTTTAATCATTATTTTAGGTAATTGAAGTATTCTTAGTCTGGAGGTGAACAGGCTACGTACTACCTTAATGACCTTACCCCCTTATGTAGTCGATAGGTTTTAAACCCCATTAACCATACCTTTATGAACCTTGGTTTTTAACCAGGTGAAGGTGTTCCAGTATTGGTCACTTATATTATTGCCCACTTCTCCCTCACATCGATGAAGGGTTCTTGATCCGAAGAGCTGTATTTATCCTCCTCCTTCGATCTAACCTAATTATCTCCCATTCTCTGTGCACTGAACAACTCCTATAACCCTTAATGATTTTTTTGGCACACTGGCTGTCTCCCATCGAGATAGGGTAATCCAAAAAAAGAAGCACTTTCACCATCATTCACCCTATCACCGTCTTGCCAGAGGCACGTAGATTAATATACTGTAATAATGTCCACTCACTGAGTAGACATTATTACAGTATAATATTCATGGTATAATAATCATATTTTTCATTCACAATGTTCATGAAATAACTAAATTTGTTTTCATAAACAAGATTTTGGCTACAACATCCATTACATTATTACATTCGTAGGAAACGCTAAACCCGTACCAACCAGATATTACTATTATAAAGGGGGAGTGCTAAACCCATAGGATTAAGCAGCTATGAACCTGACGACTTCTGGGAAATGGGAGGCAATTAAATTCAATCCGAGGAGATCAGTAACTTCTTGGATCCAGAGCCCTTTACTGACATCATGGCACCTTACTTGAAGTGCATCCATTATGTAAAGTGTTTTGGGTAGCCCAGGTAATGCAGTATTCAAAAAAAAAGTCAAATTACAAAATAGGTGGAACTTGAACCCATGGCAGGTGAGTTTTACAACTGACAGCCAGACTCACCTGTCATGGGTACACACCCGACCCATTCTGCAATTTGTCTGTAATTACATTATTACGATTTCATGAGTCAGTATTACAAAAGTACGAGCACAGAACTGTAACTTCACGTCATAAAAATAAAATCAATGAAGATTAAGTTATCAACTTTATTAGACATAAACAATAACTACAAGATTAAACAAAACAAATTTCTAAAGATAAACAAGCAAAACTACAATTAAAAATTAAAAACTGGAGGTTATATCCAGAAATTAAATGAGTGTTATTAAACATCGAAACATTAAACACACATTTCATTTGTAGTGTAGTACTGAGGGCAATATTACACGTGTAAATTATTTTACAAAATGTAATTATAGCAGAATAAAATACATATGCAAACTATAAACTGTTTAATATCTTCAGTAACACTCGTTAAATAAAAGAGCAAACAACAAAGTTAATATTTTTAAATTCAGCTAAGCCTTGTACATATACTTGTAGAAACAAAGCTGTATAGTCCTTGTGGCTTAGCGCTTCTTTTTGATTATAATAATAATAATGTAGAAACAAAGATATTAGTATTATTAAATATTTATTTCTTTTATGCAGTACAGATATGTAGTTAACATGTAAATACTGTTAAGCTCACAAGTATGCAATGCATGTGCTAACATTCTCATATATTGTTCAAGAGTTAATACACATTACTGCAACACTGTTCAACAGATTTTTAAAACCCAAGCCTCACCCAAACATAATTATGCAAGCATGTGTTATGCTAGTCCACAAAGGTTGAGACCCAACTGAAACCAAGAACTGAAGACCAATATTTAACTTACTATTATTATATAAAAAATACATAAATAATTGTATGAAATGATGACTAAATATAATACAAAATTCTAAATCCTTGCCAGTATGGTTTCTGGCCATGAAAAAGTACAAATTATGCAGTAAAATGCTTGACTCAATCGATTCATCTCTAAAAAAGTAAAAGAATATCCAATGAGCTTCTTTACTAATCTAAATAAACTTTTAGATACATTAGATCACACCATCTTGCAGCCTAAATTAGAACAATACAGAATCAGAGGCTATGCTTATACATATAGTCCTACCTCAATGAAAGACACCATGTGGCCATTTATGGAGATATGTTGCAGCTTTTTAGCTATAGTGTAGATGAGCCTCTGGCAAGACAGTGATGGAGTGAATGATGGTGAAAATGTTTCTTCTTTTTCAGGTCACCCTACCTCTGTGGGAAACAGCCTCTGTGTTAATAAAACAAAAATATTTCATTTCAACCTATCAACATAGGGGTGCCACAGGGCAGCATTCTAGGCACTCTTATCTCATCAGGGGCATAGATTCTGGGTGTGCTACCTGCCTGAGGTCTACCTGGAGGGTATTCCATAGATCAACGCCCCTGCGGCCCGGTCCATAACCAGGCTTCCCAGTGGATCAGGGCCTCATCAACCAGGGTGTTACTGCTGGCCACATGTGGTCCAATGTATGAACCACAGCCCAATTGATCTGGCACCAAATAAGTATCTGTCCAGCTCCCTCCCAGGGGCCTATTGGTAATTCTTCTCATACATGGTGGGAGGCTGTTGAACAGTCTTGGGCCCCAGACACATGGTGTTTTCTCTTAGTGTACCAATGGTGCCCCTGCTTTTCATTGGGGGTATTTTGCACTGCCTACCCAGTCTTTTACTTTCGTAGGGTGATTTCTGTGTGCAGATTCGGGTGCTAGGTCAGTGCTGCACACCCACCAAAGATAGTAAATTCATCATAGCTAATAAGCTCACTTAATAATCTAATCATGGGTCATAATGAGAAACTGTTTTCTGTCCCCTGTTATGAAATGTTGTGTCAGTTGTTCTGAGTAATATTTATGCCAGAGTAGTAGGTTCAGCACAGTAGTACAGTGCACACCCTGTGACAATAACCACCATATAAATGTTTTGGGAAATAAACAACTGTCTGTGTTATACACAATGTTTCTCCTAAACCTTACAGTATAAAATACAGTACTAGCAGTATAAAAAGTAAAGTAAAAAATTAAATACAAAAATAAAACAAAATAAAATCATTACATAATATGATGCTGATATTTAGTAGTAAGGTTCGACTTACGTCCACTTTGACTAACGACCGGTTAGTCAGAAACAAGCTCGGTCGTAAGTCGGATGGTAGGTGTACCTAGGACTTAACCTAATCATTACAATTAATAAACTGATCTTCAGACAACTGAATTATATTAAACTTTGTATGCAAATAATCCAACCACAACTATAGAATATCAAGTCACTTTAGTTCTAGTCTAGTCATCCCATGAACATTCCATAAAGTATTTAATAAATATCTAATTATATAATACTTATACTTTTTTGAAAATAAAAATTTATTTTATTTACAATCATTTAAAGGCAGATTATATCACTGAAGAGCAAGGCATACAGAATTCTGAATATTCCTAACTAACAAAAACTGAAGTAGTGTGGTACACAATGGGCAAATATTAACTCATTACTGATGTAAATATAAAACTACTGATTATCACAAAAATTTTCAGTATACTCTTAGTAGTAAAGAACTGCAAATTGTTATATGATTATATATGCAATATTCAAGTGTTATGTCTATATACTATGATTATAATAAGATACAGATTTATATATTGTAATAGAAGTGGAATATTCAGAGTTTCAGAGAGAAATCAAAATATTTTTTCCTCTGAGCATTTTTAACTGTCTCTCTGAATCTATAAGATATATATTTATATATATGCTTATTATTATCATTGTTAAAGGAAAACAGAATATATTCAAGCTACACACGTTTTAATGCTATATAGTATATTGTTAAATTTTCAAATATAGGACAAAAGCTTCCTGTTTTCTTGGTTAATACCATATACAGAAAAAACAGCATGAAAAATGTGATTTCTCATTATACAACTTAAAATACAATGCAACACGTTCAAAAACCATCATATTTAAGCGACTTTGAAGGAAAATTTGCAGAAGCGTATTTAATAGATCTATTATCACTTTCTCTTTTATATAAGAGACAGATTTTTAGTAATGCTTTGTAATACCAGTATCTTAATTGGATCCAAATGGCATACTGCCAAAATGTTTAAAAAAAAAAAAAAAAAAAAAAAAAGGCCTGCTCAACAAGTTATAATTAGGAAAACTTTTTGCTTTATAGAGCTTAATGAAGCTCTGTAGAAGGAAAGATTATCCTAATAAAAGCTTCATATGCAATGCCTTATTTTCTTAGTTTGACTCTATGAAACTGGACACGGCGAGTCCAAATCATGTTTAAAATAAACACAAGAGCCACGCTTGTCACAGAGAAAGCGCAGTGTATTTGTTGCATTTATGAGAAGATGACATGGCTGTTTCACATACTTACATAAAAGTTTGATCAAAAGGCGCACTACCTTTAACTCTTTATCAGAGCAGCTGATGTTGGTATAGCAAAATTGCATGACAACCACATATTGTAACTGAACTTTTTCTATTTTCCTTTTGATCTCCATATAGTTGTAAGGTGCAACAGTTGCCCCTTCTGCTTCTGCAACAGTTGCCCCTTCTGCTTCTGCAACAGCTGCCCCTTCTTCTTCTGCAACAGCTGCCCCTTCTGCTTCTGCAACAGCTGCCCCTTCTTCTTCTGCAACAGCTGCCCCTTCTTCTTCTGCAACAGCTGCCCCTTCTGCTTCACCATAGTTTAGATGGCACTTAGGACATACTTTAGTGACAGGGCTAATGCCATCATCACAATTTATGCACCTTAGAATTAATATTCGTGGAAATTTTGTGGGGTGTTCCTGACTTATTTTACAAGTCTCGCATGAGCAATGTACATGTGCAACATGCTGCATGGTTAATGGCTTGCCAGCTGGGATGAAGTGCATTGCTCTCACAATTTCAGTCTTACCATAGAAAAATGGAGAACAGTTCGCATTGCAGGTGTGACTCATGAGACAAGATGCAGAATAAATTCCATTACCACAAGCTCTTTGGTGACTTGGCTGTTGTACACCCACTTGAACCTACAACAGAAACAGTAAATAAATTGAGGTAAAGCATATTTCATAGACAATTGATTATTAAGAAATTATGCACTTTTATTTTTTTTTTCAACAAACTGGCTGTATCCCACCAAGGCAGGGTGACCTAAAAAGAAAAATGAAAGTTTTTCTTTTTAAATTTAGTAATTTATACAGAAGGGGTTACTAGCCCCTTGCTTCCAGCATTTTAGTTCTCTTATGACATGCATGGCTTACAGAGGAAGAATTCTTTTCCACTTTCCCATGTAATTTATATACATGCAACATATCAAAAAAATAGCTGAAAAGATAATGCCAGTATCACAAATCCAAATGTAGCCTGTGTTTTCTAAGATAACAATTTTAATAAAATTTAAATTAGTAATAATTATGAGACTCAAGTTGTTTATTAAATAAAGAATAAAAACTGGTAAGGTCTAAAATTTATAAAAAAAAAAATTAAATGTGATCCTTACAACGGAAATTATAATTAGCTAATATTTTATATATTTTATGTTTTGTAAAAACATGCAAATCTATTTTCAGTGACAAAACTATTAAAAGCAGATGTATACACAAATGCTTTAGAAAAAATCTGAAGTTAAAAAAGAAACTTTCTGCAATAAGAAAAATGAGAAGGCCATACTGACAAATGCCATGTGTGTCCCTACCTATAACCTCTAACAGCAATGGTTTGCTGTATACAGCCTTTATTCACATACTCTAAAACAGTTGTTCCTTGAATGTTGTAAGCATGCATCAGATGAGACCTGGGCAACTCTCACCAATCAAGTTCGCATTCAGAAGCATGATAGCTGTGGAAAGTAGAGACTAGGGACATAATGTCCCTTCCAGATTGGAGGAAGCAGTTATCAAGTATGGCAGACTTCAAGCAGGTTTAAACCTAATACGGGCAGCCGAGAAGTGTTGTCAAAAAATGGCACAAAAGATTATCTCCATATTTAGCCAAGAGCAGAGCCATGACTGGAATATAGCAAGCCAAAAACTGGCAACATATAATTACATAAAACACTGTCATTGCATACACACACACACAATCAGATCAGGTTGTAATTAGGACAGATATCACCAGCACAGAAGGGGTCAAGATGAAATGGCATGATCAAGCAGGTAAGAGGCAAGTCAAAAGATTGTTCTACATGGTTATCATCCATGAACTAAACATAACTGATATACGAGCAGTAGGCTCCAAACATACGACAAAATTCTAAAAGGTACAAGAGCAGCTAAAGCTATGGACCCAAGCACTAGCACTAGTAACTAATACAGGATGGTCCCGCATATCCAGCACCTATTTTCGGTGTTCATGTCTTTGTTGGCTTACAGTTGAGTCATTGTTCCACCCACTGGTGACTATCACCGGCAGGTGGTACATAATGAGCAATGGGTCAATTTGAAGCCAACAGAAACGTAGAATACCGAAAAAGGTGCTGTATATGTGGGGCCCTCCTTGTAAAGCCTTGAAGGGCAGCTTGAATCTGTCAAGAACCAAGTATTTATTTATTTGAACATGATACAGAGAAGTAAAAAAGGAATACAGTAAAGTGCAACATGCCAAGCCCCTTGTATGCATAGCATTATGGGCAGGCTTAAAATTAACTTAAGATTAACTAAGCAATGATATATTCAGTGGTAAAACATTGTAAACATATAACAATTAAGCACAAATGAGTATTACAAAGACAGGTCATATGGTCATTTACTGTGTTGCTGTGCAATCAGTAGAATGGAGTATTCTGTTAGGTAATGTAATTAAAAAATAACAAAGTTTGATTGGGTCTGAGGTTAAGCATTTCTGAGGTACAATTACGAGAAACATTTATGAGATACAATTTATAAGATAAAATTATTCAGTATTTATTTGGTTGTGGGTGAGTAAGTGATTCTTGAGAAGACTTGAATTTATAAACAGTGTTTCTTTTATATTTACAGGTAATGAATTCCAGATTTTAGGGCCTTTTATGTGCATTGAGTTTTTGCATAGCGTGACATGGATACGAGGAACATCAAAGAGTGATCTGTGCCTTGTGTTATGGTCATGTGTTCTGTTGAGGTTGGTAAGGAGACGTTTGAGGGGAGGGTTTATATCCGAGTTAAGTGTTCAAGATATATTAGTTAGCGGCAGTTAGCGGCAGCAGCGGCCTCCTACCAGCTCTTCTTCCTCAAGAAACCATCGCTCATCAAAACTTGTGATGGCCTAAGTGAAGGTACAACTACATGAACCCACGTAGACCACAAAATGACCCAAGAATATCAAGAATGTAACCCAAATCTTGACAAAATTAGAAGATCTAAGGAAGACAGCCCTGCTAACCCAAACACTGCCTCCGCTGCCAGACAACCACTTAACCCAAGCTCTGAGAAAACAAGCCTTCTCCTCCATAGCTACACAGTATCTACTTCAGTGATACTATGAAAGGATATCGCAGAAGAAACAACATCAGTAATAAAAGAATAACAGCAAGGACCCTAGAACTCAACTTGTCTACTCAGCAGGACGCCAGTGTATCATCAACCCCCCTCACCACCGCCACCCAGGGAACAACAACAAACATGGCTGACTCCCCTTCCAACTCCACTCCCTTCAAAGGATTCACCCATGATAACTCAGGTATGATTATTCCTGACAATATCAAGGACTACATCATTGCCCTAGAAAACGAAATCAAAGATATCAAAGCAACACTTGCGCGACGAGAATCCAAGATAACCAACCTCGAGAACAAGATCCAAAACCTTGAAGAGAAGATTACATCGGGAAGTGTTGACACAGAAAATACTCTGAAAGCAGCTATAGCCAGTCACACTGAACAAATAACAACAATAAATATGAAGGATGAAGAAGCAATCAAGGACTGGAATCAGAACATGCACACTCGACTAAATGAATACCTTGATTTCCAAGACGACAAAACTGAACAAGACAAGTTGTCTGATGCAGTTATAATAAACAGTCCTCACATTCCTAGTGACATAACCCAAGCACAGTGCAAAGAAACTGCTATCAGGATAATACAGGACCACGTACAAGTCATCGTGCAAAACAATGAAATCAAAGAAACACATTTGCTAGGAAAACCAGGTAGTAAACACAGTATAATGATCAGACTTCATTCATATGATAAAAGAAAGGACCTAATTAAATCAGCAATTACAATGAAAAATGGAGTGTACATAAATGAGTGTCTAACTAGAAAACGTCAAAACCTTCTGTTCAGGCTGAGAAAACTTAAACAGGAAAACAAAATACATCAGTGTTTCACGCGAGATGGGAAAATACTAGTACGAAAAACATTAACAGGACAACAATATACCATCTCAAATGAACATGATTTCTCTACCTTCCTTAGAAAAGCTGACATTTCTGTAACAGATTAGATAAGTGCCCTTAATACATATATACGTGTGGTGCATATAGTGTACGTTACTATTATATTGTGCATTATTATTTTTTTATTTTTCATCACTAGCTAATGCCAACTACCTCCAATACTTTATACTTCTTTCTTACTGCTATTAATTGCTCATAATTTTGTGTTACAAATCAAATCTTACTCCAAATTAATATTATTCATTGTTCTTACCTGTCCATTTAATTTTGTTTACCACTACTTGTTTTAGTCACCTTTTATTGTGTGTGCAATTAGTGTATATTCCAATTACTTTTTAGCAAGTCCCAAAACTATCTTTTGCTAGCTAGTACCAACTACCTCATATTTTTTTACTTTTTATTGTGCAATATACTGCTCAACTTATTTAATATTACAAATCAGATCTTACTCCTAAACCAATATTATTTCATAGAGACTATCTGTCCATTTAACTTTGTTTACCATTACTTAATTTTGTCCCTTATATATTTTCTCCTTTATTTTAGCTTTATATAACTACCCTAGTTCATATATTCACAATTGTTAAAATAATCAAGGTGCTATTCTCAGGTGCTAAAGTGTAATAAGTTCACTATTTTGCCATTATATTCCAAAACTCATTTATTTGATTACCACTTTATTGTTCACCACAACTTATATTAGTCCCTTTTATATTGTTTTTCCCTAATTCTAACTTTAAAGAATTACCTTTAAAGTACTACCTACTATCATATTCCCAAGCTCCATTATTTGATCATCACTTTATTTGTTCACCACAAATTATTTTAGTCCTTTATATTGTCTCCTTTATTTTAGCTTTAAAAAACTACCTCAGCTCATTTTTTTACATTTGTTAAATAATTCAGGTGCTATTTTTTAGTTTTAGAATATTTACTTTGTTTTATACTTAATTCTAACTATAGATTCACTACAAATCTTATGATTACAAGCATTGATCCTGATACCAACCTCTTATTTAATGACTTAAATGAATCAAACAGTTACTGTAATTACTACACAGCAGAACAATCAAAGGCACTCCTCAGAGCCAACAACAACATAACTGTCTTCAACTACAATATCAGATCTTTAAGCAAGCATTACGATGACCTCATAGCATTACTAAATTCCTTGCATGACAATATGTCTATCATTACACTAACTGAAACCTGGCTAAAGCCTGATACTACTGATGTCTATGCCATTCCCGGTTACACAGCCATACACAACTGTAGGCCAGACTAACAAGGGAGTGGCACAGCTATATACTACTCAGACCAACTAGAATATATCACTAATACTTGCACATGGGATGAACATGGGGAATATATAATAGCTAAATTCAAATCCAAATACCTACAAAAACCTCACACTGATAAACATCTACAGAGTTCCACACTCAAACATTAGCCGATTTAGTCAAAACCTAGGAAGTATGGCAACTGATGCACGCATGAACAAAGATCACTTACTACTCTCAGGTGACTTCAATATAAATCTCCTGCAAGACCATGACCCACACGTTACTGAATTCACAAACACAATGAATAACTGCATGTTGCTACCAACAGTAACAAAACCTACAAGAGTTACAGAGACTAGTGTTTCCCTACTTGACCACATCTGGACCAACACCATATCCCCTTTAAAATCAGGCATAATCACAGATAATACCACAGACCACTACCCTACTTTCCTCATAACAACTCTTGGTAAATTACCCCAAGACACTACTAAAGTCAGCTTCAGACTTCACAATGAGGCAGCCATTAATAACTTCACAACAGCAGTAACAAACACTGACTGGCACACTGAGCTAGAAATCTATACAGATATTGACTAATATATTAATAATTTTCTAAAAAAGACCCAATACCTCTATAACAAGCACTGCCCTAAAAAAAACTAAACAGATGACAGCTAAGAGACTGAACAGTCCCTGGCTAACACCCAGCATTCTCAAATCCATAAATACAAAACACCTATATGAAAAACAGTACAGAATAGGTCATATAACCAAAGACCAAACAAAACGTTACTCGTCAATCCTAACCAGCCTGATAAGAAGGGCAAAAAAATTGTATTATGAGAACAGATTATCCAACTTACGAAGTGATATAAAAAAGACCTGGAAAACCCTATCAGAAATTCTAGGAACAAAAAAGATATCACGAAATAGCAAAATTAAATTAGCAAAATCAGATGAACCCCAACTCCCACCAACAGAAACAGCAAACAGACTCAATGATTTCTTCTCCACTATAGGAAAAAACCTTGCCAATAAAATCCCAAGCTCAGATACCCCACCAAATGACTACCTCACTGGCAACTACCTGAACACACTGTTCCTAGCTCCGACTAACCCATACGAAGTCTCCCTTATTATCAACACACTAAAAAAACAAGACAGGAGATTTAAATACCTTACCACCCTTTATATACAAAAAAGTGTCACAAGTGCTATCACCAATCATTGCAACACTCTTTAACAAATCCATTGAATCCTCTACCTTCCCTACAGTTCTCAAAATAGCAAGGGTCACCCCGATCCATAAAGGAGGAGACCAAACAGAGTTGAATAACTATAGGCCAATATCCAACTTGCACCCTCTCTCAAAAATCTTCGAAAAATTAATTCATAAACGAATCTACTACCTCATCTCCCAAAACATACTCAACCCCTGCCAATTTGGATTCAGGCCTAATAAAAATACTAATGATGCTATTATACACATGCTAGAACATATATACACTGCAATAGAGAAAAAAGAAGTCCCACTGGGGATCTTCATTGACTTATGTAAAGCTTTTGATACAGTTGACCATGACTTGCTCCACATAAAATTGTCACACTATGGTATAAGAGGGCACTCCCTCAACTACCTCAAGTCATACCTCAGCAACAGAAGCCAATATGTGTACACAAAGGGGGCAAACTCTTCTGCACAATCAATTACAGTTGGTGTCCCACAGGGAAGTGTTCTTGGCCCTCTTCTCTTTCTCCTATACATAAATGACCAACCAAATGCTTCGCAATTACTCAAACCCACACTATTTGCAGATGACACTACATACGTCTTCTCTCACCCGAGCCCAGTCACGCTAGCCAATACTATAAATACCGAATTACAGAAAATATCTACCTGGATGAGGACTAACAAACTTACACTAAACATTGACAAAACCTACTTCATTCAGTTTGGTAACAGAGCTACAGATGTCCCTCTTAACATAATGATAAACGGATCACCTATCACAAAGCTAACAGAGGGAAAATTCTTAGGAATCCACCTTGATAATAGACTCAAATTTCATACACATATACAACAAATTTCTAAGAAAATTTCCAAGACCATAGGCTACTATCGAAGATACGGTACTATGTTCCACAGTCAGCCCTCCTGGCCCTATATCACTCTCTTATTTACCCCTATCTCACCTATGGAATTTTTGCATGGGGCTCAACAACAATTAACCATCTCAGACCACTAATTACCCAACAAAAGGCTGCAGTCAGAATGATAACAAATTCCCACTACAGGCAGCACACTCCACCAATATTCAAAACACTAAACCTACTCACCATACAAAACATCCATACTTATTACTGCACCTATTACATACATAGAACACTTAACTCTGATATTAACCCTCACCTCAAACATCTCCTTGCCAACCTCAACAGAACACATGACCATAATACAAGGCACAGATCACTCTTTGATGTTCCTCGTGTCCATCTCACGCTATGCAAAAACTCGATGCACATAAAAGGCCCTAAAATCTAGAATTCATTGCCTGTAAATATAGAAAAACACTACTTGTTTATAAATTCAAGTCTCTTCTCAAAGATCACTTACTCACCCAAAACCAAATAAATACTGAATAACTGAACCTTATAAATTGTATATCTTAAATGTTTCTCATAATTATATCACATAAATGTTAAACCTAAGACCCAATCTAACTTTGTTATTTTTTAAATACACTCCTAACAGAATACTCCATTCTACTGAATGTACAGCAATGCATGCAACCATATGACCTGTCTTTGTAATACTCATTTGTGCTTTATTGTTATCTGTTTACAATAATGTTTTATCACTGATTACATCATTACTTAGTTAATCTTAAGTTAATTTTAAGCCTGCCCATAATGCTATGCATACAAGTGGCATTGGCATACTGCTCTTACCTGTATTTTTTTGTACCTCTGTATGTTCAAATTATTAAATAAATAAATAAATAAATAAATAAATAAATGTAGTAGGTGCAGTAATAAGTATGGACGTTTTCTATGGTGAGTAGGTTTCGAGTTTTGAATATTGGTAGAGTGTGCTGCCTGTAGTGGGAATTTGTTGTTATTCTGACTGCAGAGCTAAACATAGCAGCTAAACATGAGCAGCTAAACATAAGTGACTTCAAATATGAGAAATCTATATCTAGCTACATATTAGAGCAGAGATCCATCGTGCAGCTAGATTTTGCAGTGCAGTCCACAGGATCCAATTGCATGGGTTCTAACCCCACCCACATCATGGTTTGTTAGCCCTATTACATCACAATCAAAACTTCATCTTGAAGCCTTAATCACATACATTCTCAGTTCTGAAAGAGCCTAAAGACCTAATTCATTTACCAACTGACAACACAACACAGTTAATCAAACCATGGTTTCTAGGTAATGAACAGGAAAAAAGTATTGGCCATCATACCAGCAACTAAATTATCACTTAAAGTAGAATCATAAATTTGTGAGCCAGTAGTCACTCTCTTGAAAAACAGATTGAGGAAGTGCCATTCAACGTAAGTAAATAATATTTGGAAAGAATACCTTAAAAAATGTAATATCTCGAACAGTACTCATGAGGTTCATCATATGATGTACGAGTGTACTGCCAGTCAAGACGAAATCTTCATGACTTGGAGTGAAGGGCTCTCCATCACTGGTAAGAAAGTAGCGTCCACTCAGATGCAGAAGTTTGGTAATGATAAAAGCTTCTAAGCATCTCTCAACTACTGCTTCTGAAGAATGCTTTTCTATATTTGTTTTCAGGTGATACACTGTTCTGTAATGTTCCACATCATAGATTCCTTCATTGTTGAAGCCAAGATTCATGGGGGATTTTTCTTCAGCCTCAAGTCGCAGCAGTGGTATCAATTCCTTGAGCTTGGCATAAGAGGTCTTTGTCATTACTCTGTATGCTAATGCATGTCTCCTTCCCATATCTGGTAAATACAGGGTTGGCAAAATAGGACACTCTTGCCAATGGCATCCTGACAATCCTTCTTTACGACATTCCTCACTACAAAATACCACCTAAAAGAAATATAAATAAGTAAAAAAGAATCTCTATATTTTATATATGTTTCAATATACAAAAATATTAACAATAATTAGTCATGAAAATGGTAGCAACTGTGACAAATAAGACCACAAAGATAACCGAAACTAAGATAAGGAAATTGAGACCAGGTACCCTAAGTCCTCAACTTACAAACATTGAGAATCTTCTGTATTGGGTAAAATATCATGATTATATCCTTATTGTGAATATCATACTATGCACAATACAGGTCCCCAATGAGTTCATAAGTTCAAGACTTCCTGTATTATGAATATTATACACAATTCAGGAGGTTCCCAGTGTGCTAATAAGATGAGGACTTCCTGTACAGGAAATGACTATTCAAATTTATTTACACGAGCCCTGCACAGTTCAAATAATTAAATTAGTATGATAAATTAGTGAATTAATACTAAAAAATCAATATTTTTTTAACACACTGGCCTTGAATATGTACACTAAATTGTTCTTTTTATTATTTTTTTTTCTAGCCTATAAATGAACACATAAAATCTTCAGCACACTAACTGCCAAACCATCTACCAGAATTTGCTAAGAACATTATCAGCTAACACCTTCTACCCTTTCATTGTTCTAATTCTACCTTCAGGTAATTTAGTAATTATGAAATTTTGGGAAAACCTGTAACATGGGGCAAATGAGATGACCTGAAGGGGCATCTGAGACCTCCAATATTAACTCTGTATATATGTTGCACAGATTTTCATAAAGAACTGTTTCTCATCTACAAGATGGTGCACACATATTAAGAGGAAGACCCAAATTATGATTAAACCAATCTACCTGGAAACCCAAGAGGTAAGTTGCAGGTCTTCAAGGTGCAAAGCATACTGAAAGATAACGAACACCACCACCAAAAATTTGATGTCCGTTATATTTGCTCTAACTACTGCTTATCAATTTTTAGATCTGCATATTGTTTACAAGGATAAAAGGCTTCAAGACTCTTGGATAATGAGTAGACCACTAGTTGCACTGTGCAACAACACAAGCTCCAGACAGTTTGAATCAGAGGTACAGTAGAACTTCTGCATGTGACTTTAATTCATTCCAGATGGCTGTTCGAGTGCGGCTCCGTTCAAATATCAAAGAAGTTCTTCCCAACCAATTTTGTTTGGTTGGCTGTTATCACTAATCTTCACAGGCCCCATGGTGACTTATTTATACAATACAAAAAACACCAAAAAATGCAAAGAGGTTCTGGCAGGTCGTATTTGTTTGGTCGAGTGCTGAGCTTTGTTCAAGATGGGAGCTGGTTGTATACCGAGGTTCTACTGTATTTGTTGATTGGTTTGAGAGTAGTTCTCCAGCACTGTTGCTTACTGCTTGCTGGCAAAACTTTAGTAGTACATATAGGAGATAACTTTAACTCTCACATCAATTACAAAGTTATGGAACTATGCAAACAGAAAATTGGAATTTTTTTTTTCCATCCGACTCAAAGCAAGTCATGCAGCCTTGGAATATCTGTATGGCCCTCTTAAACATGATTGAAGAAAGGCATTGCCTGACTAGAAGGAAGGAAAAGAGAAGAGTGTAACAAATTTCCAAAAATGGTTACTAACAAGACTGCTTCTGAGTCTCATGTAACAAATGGATAAGTGAGAGCCTTTGGTGGACTCAAGATTCAGATCTTACTGTATACACCCTTTAGACCTAAACAAGTCAAGTGACATCTGGAGATGAGGTTAGCCCCATTCTTCTGGATTACCTAAATGAGACAATAGAAATCAGCATAAGGCAAAGAGCTTCTCATGGTATGGCAATTAAGGTACCCAGAGGAAGAAGCTTCAGTCTTGCAGATCTACCAGCACAAGGAAGTGACAACTTATCAGCAGCAAGACCCAGCTCCTCAGCACAAGGCATAAAGCCAAAGACCAGTGCCCAAAGAGGTATCTTCTGCAACAATTCCAGCAGCTCCTGAATAGACTTGGATGACCTAGGTGTCAAAATGCTTGATGATGAACTGAAATCCCTAACAGAGGAAAAAATTGTGTTACAGAGCACAGAACAGAGTGACTATGTTCTTGTTAAATTTGGGAGTTATGAAACATACCATTACATTGGTAAGGTTAGGGAGAAGGCTGAAACACCTGGGAACTTGACAATTTCTCATTATAGACTGACTACCCGACCGATCGCATGAATCAGGCGTGCCTCGTTGTGCTCCGGGTTTTTCGTGTTTTCACGGTCGCTCTTACGTGCTAGAACTTTAATTTGTGTCATCAATCCTATACGATACATCCCTCTAGCGCCTGGAACAAATCTTGGGCGGAAAACATTATATACTGAGTCAAAAAAGGAGAATTAGTGTGCACTAGCAGAGTTTACTGCCAGAGGGGAATCATAGGCCTGTCCCGTGTGGAAAAAAAATAATAATTGAACTTTTCATGTCAGAGGAAAGAAAGTCTCCCTGATAACATTGAGTATACATAGTGTATAGTGTATACTACAGTGGCTCCCTAGTATATTGATGATAAAGGCTAAAGTGTCATTTGAAAACAGGTGAATTTGTAAATGAAGTGATAAGCCTATAGAGGCAGGTGCCAGAAGTCGCCAGAACTTACCACAGGTCAGCTGTTTTTTAATAATCTTCCTGGCTTGCCAGTGTACTCGCATATAATCTAGTGATACCAGTGATTAGCAGAATTACAGTGTTGTAGTAGCAACTAACCAGTATTATAATGGTACTTAGTGGAGTGGAGTGACTTTCATTAGTTTCTTTTTCTTGAAATACGAGACGTTACTGTGAATTTCATATAACCTGTAGTTACCAGCAGTCGCAATATACACAACGAGAAGCAATTATTACTACAGAAAAAGCGTCCTTCCTCCAAAATTTGCACCAGTCAACTATAGTGATAATATAGCATTTATTGTGGTGGAGACGGAAAAAAGAAAAAAAAAAAAAAAAAAAAAAAAAAAGAAAAGCCAGATACAGCGATTGATAAACAAGGAGGTGACCGTTCGTCATTGTAGGAGCTGCCAGATATCACGGCTCTTCAACACGCAAGTTATACTTTTGTATCAGTCAAATCACATATTACTCGGGTAGATAATTTCCAGTAGATCTTCATGTGTTAGCTCAAATCACCGACCAGTAGTTTTAAATAAGTGACCCACTGATCAGAGCAGATCGACTGGCCCGAACCCTTGCCTGGTCCGAACCCTTGACTGGTCCGAACCCGGGACTGGTTTCAAACAGTTTCGTTGGACAATAAAGCAGACTGTAACGGATGGGGTTGTAGGCGCCCTATAAACACAAACATTAAAAATCAGGAACGTGACGGTAAGCTGTCCAATATACAAAAAGAGTTAGAAACAGAAATACAAATAGCTAGAGCTTCATTTAAGGTTATTAATAGAATTTTCAAGAGGTTGCTAGTAGAATTGCAGTTAAATCAACCATTCAAATCATTATGAAGCCCTGTGTAGTCTGTGGTCAGTCAAACAAACGGGCTTCCACATGGATAAATTGTCATTTTGTGGAAATTGGTGTCACGCCCCTTGTGCAGATATCCCAGAACTAGCTACAAGCAGTATTAAAACAGAGAAGTGTTTTTGGGTATGCTCAAATGAGGAAAAACTGTGGACTAAAATCACAAGGGTATTAAAAGAGGACAACATCAAAGCTGCTTTCATAGAAAACCTGGAAGCTTTCTACAACAGATGGGAACATAAAATGTCTGGGCTGAATGGTACTGCCCTTGATACTGGCCATGTAGTCATAAAACTGTAAGGCTGGAGGTGATGTCTGGTAGTCAGTAAATGTGGGGCTGATAGTGCTGTCCTGGGAGACAGTAATGGTGAAGCTGGAGGTGCTGTCCTGGGAGACAGTAATGGTGAAGCTGGAGGTGCTGTCCTGGGAGACAGTAATGGTGAAGCTGGAGGGTGTCCTGGGAGACAGTAATGGTGAAGTGGAGGTGCTGTCCTGGGAGACAGAAATGGTGAAGCTGGAGATACTGTCCTGGGAGACAGAAATGGTGAAGCTGGAGGTGCTGTCTGGAGACAGAAATGGTGAAGCTGGAGATACTGTCCTGGGAGACAGTAATGGTGAAGCTGGAGGTGCTGTCCTAGGAGACAGAAATGGTGAAGCTGGAGATACTGTCTGGGAGACAGAAATGGTGAAGCTGGAGATATTGTCCAGGGAGTCGGGAATTATACGCAGGAAGGAATACATATATATGACCTCATAGGGGACAGGAGCCATAGTAGGGAAACAAGTGTAGTCAAAGATAAGATAAAACCAATATTGCAAACTAGAAATACGCAGGAAATAGCAAACAAGAGGACTCCAATAGCAATAGTGAGGATAAATTACCAAAAACAACTGGTGGGAGCTCCATTGTTGGTGCTAGGGAGGATAGAAGTAAGACAGGGAAAACATGCACCAACAGGGAATACAGTCACAGAAACCAAGGCAAGCGGAAACCAAGCCTGTGCACATACTATGCACTTGGTATCTGCTGGCATGGGAAATCTGGAAAAAACAGATGGGACATGCAACTATGACCACCCTAGAAAATGCCATGCCCATATGAAAACAGGAAAATGCAAACTCCCTTCCTGTAAGCTTTTTCACCCTGAAATGTGTACCTCTTTCAGTACAGGAAAGACTGTGCTATAACTTAAATTGCCAGGCATACATCTAAAGGGACAAAAAGATACAAAACACCAGGCCAGGGGAAAACTGGGTAGCCACAGCCACTCAAGAGGGAGAGGTTTTTTATGTGCCAGGAAGGAAAAAAAACTGGCAGGAAATGGCAGAAATCGTACACCAAATCAGTCATTCCTGGAGTGGAACCACAGTCGATGGCCTCCACTCCAAACCAACGATACAGATACTAATGCCGGAAAAAAAAATCCCCCCCAGTACCAACAATACCACCAGTCCGATAACATTCTTCTTTGCAAATATACAGGGTCTAAAGCCAGCCACAAACAACAAAATACCTTTCATCCGTGGACTGCTTGCAGAGGCAAAGGCAATGTTCGCGGCTTTCACTGAGACCACATAAAGGATCACTTGGGACAACGAAGTATGGATCCAGGTTACAACCTATACAGATGTGACAGAGTGAACAGGCAAAGGGGGGGGGTTGGCCTGTACATTGCAGAGTCACTTGTTTGCACAGAACTGCTTAATGCCTCAAATGACGTAGTGGAAGTTTTAGCAGTAAAGGTCGAGAACCAAAACCTAGTCATTGTGGTAGTCTACAAGCCTCGGATGCAACATCCCAGCAATTCCAGGAACAGCTGTTAAAAATTGACCACTGTCTGGAAATCTTCCAGCTCCTGCACCCAACATCTTGCTCCTGGGGGATTTCAACTTAAGGCACCTAAAATGGAGGAATATAGCAAATAATATTGTTGCAGAAATAACACCAGGAGGCAGCTCTGATGAAAACTCACACTCACACGAGCTTTTAAATCTCTGCACAAAATTCAATTTAAACCAGCAAATAATAGAGCCTACAAGCTGGAGAATACACTAGACCTCATCTTCACTAACAATGATGATCTGATAAGAAATGTCACCATATCAAAAACAATATACTCAGATCACAACATAATTGAGGTTCAGACATGTATGCATGGAGCCCCAGACCGACAAAATGAGACTAGTCATGAGGGAGCATTCACCAAATTCAACTTCAATAACAAAAACATAAAGTGGGACCAAGTAAACCAAGTCCTAACCGATATAAGCTGGGAAGATATACTAAGCAACACAGACCCAAACTTATGCCTAGAACAGATTAACTCGGTGGCACTCGATGTATGCACAAGGCTTATTCCTCTAAGAAAAAGGAGGAGTAGATGTAAAATAGAAAGAGACAGGCGCTCCCTTTACAGGCGACGGAAAGAATAACAGAGCGGCTAAAAGAGGTCAATATATCTGAAATGACGCAGGGAGACACTGGTCAGAGAAATAGCAAGCATCGAACTTAAGCTAAAAGAATCCTTTAGGAGTCAGGAATCGCGGGAAAAAACTAAAAGCCATAAATGAAATCGAAAGAAACCCAAAGTATTTCTTCTCCTATGCCAAATCAAAATCGAGAACAACGTCCAGTATTGGGCCCCTACTTAAACAAGATGGGTCCTACACAGATGACAGCAAGGAAATGAGTGAGCTACTCAGTCCCAATATGACTCAGTTTTTAGCAAGCCGCTAACCAGACTGAGAGTCGAAGACCAAAATGAATTTTTTATGAGAGAGCCACAAAATTTGACTAACACAAGCCTATCGATGTTATCCTGACGCCAAATGACTTCGAACAGGCGATAAATGACATGCCCATGCACTCTGCCCCAGGGCCAGACTCATGGAACTCTGTGTTCATCAAGAACTGCAAGAAGCCCCTATCACGAGCCTTTTCCATCCTATGGAGAGGGAGCATGGACACGGGGGTCGTCCCTCAGTTACTAAAAACAACAGACATAGCCCCACTCCACAAAGGGGGCAGTAAAGCAACAGCAAAGAACTACAGACCAATAGCACTAACATCCCATATCATAAAAATCTTTGAAAGGGTCCTAAGAAGCAAGATCACCACCATCTAGAAACCCATCAGTTACACAACCCAGGGCAACATGGGTTTAGAACAGGTCGCTCCTGTCTGTCTCAACTACTGGATCACTACGACAAGGTCCTAAATGCACTAGAAGACAAAAAGAATGCAGATGTAATATATACAGACTTTGCAAAAGCCTTCGACAAGTGTGACCATGGCGTAATAGCGCACAAAATGCGCGCTAAAGGAATAACAGGAAAAGTCGGTCGATGGATCTATAATTTCCTCACTAACAGAACACAGAGAGTAGTCGTCAACAGAGTAAAGTCCGAGGCAGCTACGGTGACAAGCTCTGTCCCACAAGGCACAGTACTAGCTCCCATCTTGTTCCTCATCCTCATATCCGACATAGACAAGGATGTCAGCCACAGCACCGTGTCTTCCTTTGCAGATGACACCCGAATCTGCATGACAGTGTCTTCCATTGCAGACACTGCAAGGCTCCAGGCGGACATCAACCAAATCTTTCAGTGGGCTGCAGAAAACAATATGAAGTTCAACGATGAGAAATTTCAATTACTCAGATATGGTAAACATGAGGAAATTAAATCTTCATCAGAGTACAAAACAAATTCTGGCCACAAAATAGAGCGAAACACCAACGTCAAAGACCTAGGAGTGATTATGTCGGAGGATCTCACCTTCAAGGACCATAACATTGTATCAATGCATCTGCTAGAAAAATGACAGGATGGATAATGAGAACCTTCAAAACTAGGGAGGCCAAGCCATGATGACACTCTTCAGGTCACTTGTTCTATCTAGGCTGGAATATTGCTGCACTCTAACAGCACCTTTCAAGGCAGGTGAAATTGCCGACCTAGAAAATGTACAGAGAACTTTCACGGCGCGCATAACGGAGATAAAACACCTCAATTACTGGGAGCGCTTGAGGTTTCTAAACCTGTATTCCCTGGAACGCAGGAGGGAGAGATACATGATTATAACACCTGGAAAATCCTAGAGGGACTAGTACCAAACTTGCACACGAAAATCACTCACTACGAAAGCAAAAGACTTGGCAGACGATGCACCATCCCCCCCAAAGAAAAGCAGGGGTGTCACTAGCACGTTAAGAGACCATACAATAAGTGTCAGGGGCCCGAGACTGTTCAACTGCCTCCCAGCACACATAAGGGGGATTACCAACAGACCCCTGGCAGTCTTCAAGCTGGCACTGGACAAGCACCTAAAGACAGTTCCTGATCAGCCGGGCTGTGGCTCGTACGTTGGTTTGCGTGCAGCCAGCAGCAACAGCCTGGTTGATCAGGCGCTGATCCACCAGGAGGCCTGGTCACAGACCGGGCCGCGGGGGCGTTGACCCCCGAAACTCTCTCCAGGTAAACTCCAGGTAATAGAAACACAGGGATCCCTAAGGGCATAAATGCTTCTCAAACCCTGGCATCTAAAGTTTCAAATCTATCGTTTCAAATCTATCAGACACTGAGGAACATGATAGTTAATACTTACACATTTAACTGGAAAAACTTATTAATTAGATTTAGCTTAAATCTGGCTGATATGATGTGCATAAATTAGGCAATTTCTGCTTAGGAATAAATTGGTAATCCTCCTTGTAACACTTGGTAGCCAAATATTTTTTTACAAGAATTGATTATTTTTTATTATATTTGTACAGGAAGCCATTCACTCTTAATCACACTTGTACCAAAATAGAACAATTAGTGCAACTTTGCTTATATTCATAATCATGATACTATTTTAAATTTAAAGCACATACATATATACTTATGACAACATAGGAGAAAATATCATTGGACCAAGAGTCCTTTGCCAGCATCACAGCACCCACCAACATGGAATAAGTATAAAAACCTATACATTCTAACCGTATCACAGATGGGGCAGGGAAGAGGAGCCATACTTCTTTTCATGCACACAGTACAGTGCAATTTTACCATCTCTGAGTACACTATGTTGCAATACCCATCATCAATGCTCACTATCTCACCTGTAAAAAATAAATTTATTAAAGAAAGAAAAAGAAAAAATCACAATGTAGTGAAACACTTAGCATCTAATCTATAATTCAGAAAGGAAACTTGAAATGACATTCTGGTCTGTCATAGACAATTAAAAAATGTCTTCCATAGACAATTATCACACTCCAACTTAGTGATCCAGGACACACTTAGGTGTCATTCAAACATTCCTCTCTAATTTGAGGGTTAAAGTGTGAATTACTATAAAGCAGAGACGCTGTATAGCCCTTGTGGCTTAGCGCTTCTTTTTGATTATAATAATAATATAAAGCAGAGGACCCATATCCATAGATTTGGTTTCTGCGGTTTACCGTAGCCCAAAAATAACCCTTAATTTTGTTAAAAAATGGCCCCAGAGCACAAAAGCAGTGATGTAGCCAGTTCTTCAAAGACTAAGAAAAGCTGTGAAGTGCTTCCCAAAAAAAAGAAAAATGGGCTAATTCTCTACTTATTGTGCATAATTTATCAATTAAACTTTATCATAGGTATGTGGAATGTAACCTCGACGGATATGGGAGGATTACTGTATTTAATAAAATCAGCTATTTTTTTTTTTAAGAAATTATATAAATCCTAAAAGGTTCAACTAACTTTTCAAATAAAATCTTCTTAACCAAAAATCAAACAAAATAGTAATGTGCACAATTCTGCTCAATGAGCAGAGGATTACTTAGCAGTGTATTATTTCTAATTTTCTTATTAATAATGACTATAGATTGGAAGCTATTTTTTTTTTCAACACACTGGCTGTCTCCCACCAAGAAAGAGATAGTATAATAATCTATCATTACAGTACTACAACAGTGATATATTTAAAAATAAATAAAGAAAAGATCTGGACTATATTTCTGGATTGTCTGCAGAAAAAGCCTTTTTTTGAACATAATAATAATAATAATATTCTTAATATTAATCTTTATTTCTGCAAATGCATGTACAATGGATACAGACCTAGCTGACATTAATGACATACATATAGCAGTATGTCATTGATATCAGCTAGGTCTATACATATTGTACATGTACTTGTAGAAATAAAGATCATTATTATAACAAACCAATAATTATTCATACAGTGCAACAACTACTGTTGTATAAAAAAGTACTATATTGTAAATAAAACTTTGATATTCACAGAGGCAGGTGAAATGTGCACAGTATTGCCCCATAAGGTTTACCAGATCTAACCATTTTTCAATGAATATTAATTTATGCACAAAATCATCTATTTACAGCTAAATAGGTACAGCTAAGTTCACAGAGCCATCTTCATAAACTTATTATATGTGTAATTTTAAGTTTCCACTGGTTGAAGCACGTACTACCTATGACATTATTCCACCAACTGATTTGCAATAAAATTTCTAGAATCCTTTAAGCATTTCTTTGCACTCATATCATCTTTACATGCTTGGAATCACTGCTCCTACCTAGGAGCAATCTACTATAAAACTAATGAAGCTTAAATGTTAGGGCCCCTAATCCTGGAGGGGCCCCAGAAGTGACTTTAGTCCACACTGCTTTAAAATTTGGGGTCTACTGTATGAGTTTAAAAAAAAAAAAAAAACAGTTCAAGCTTCAGGGCCCCAAAAACGTAGGTCTGGCCCTGCTCCTACCTGTATCTGTCTGACCTCATTTTGTCCTAATTCTAGGTTAAGCCTATATAAAATACTATAATTCAATATAAACTACTGACAAACTTAAACCAAAAGCAAAATTAGTATATATATATATATATATATATATATATATATATATATATAATATATATATATATATATATATATATATATATATATATATATATATATATATATATATATATATATATATATATATATATAATATATATATATATATATATATATATATATATATATATATATGTGTGTGTGTGTGTGTGTGTGTACTCGCATAGTTGTGGTTGCAGGGGTTGGGACTCAGCTCCTGGCCCTGCCTCTTCACTGACCGCTACTGGGTCCTCCCCCTCTCCCTGCTCCATGAACTTTATCATACCTCGTCTTAAAGCTGTGTATGGTTCCTGCCTCCACTACATCACTTGCCAGACTATTCCACTTCCTAACAACTTTGTGGCTGAAGAAATAGTTCCTAACATTCCTTTGGGATATGTATGTATGTGTGTACTCACCTAATTGTGGTTGCAGGGGTCAAGACTCAGCTCCTGGCCCCGCCTCTTCAATGATCGCTTCCTGAGCTTTGTCATACCTCTTCTTAAAACTATGTATGATTCCTGCCTCCACTACTTCACTTGCTAGGCTATTCCACTTCCTGACGACTCTATGACTGAAGAAATACTTCCTAACGTCCCTGTGACTCGTCTGAGTCTTCAGCTTCCAATTGTGACCCCTTGTTTCTGTGTCCCCTCTCTGGAACATCCTGTCTCTGTCCACCTTGTCTATTCCCCGCAGTATATTGTATGTCGTTATCATGTCTCCCCTGACCCTTCTGTTCTCCAGTGTCGTCAGTCCGATTTCCCTCAACCTTTCCTCGTACTACATTCTCCTGAGCTCTGGAACTAGCCTTGTTGCAAACCTTTGTACTTTCTCTAACTTCTTGACGTGCTTGACCAATGTGGGTTCCAGACTGGTGCTGCATACTCCAGTATGGGCCTAACATACACAGTGTACAGTGTCTTGAACAGCTTTTTGTAGGATGGTGCACCGTGTCATACCACCAAATCTGTAGCTCAGTGGCTTAAGGACTGTGAAGTGAGGTTCTTTAATGACTGACCAGGCAATTCCCCAGACCTAAACCCTACTGAGAACCACTGGTCAATAGTGAAACAAAGTTTACTGGGCAAGGATATCAGTTCCATCCCGCAGCTGGAGGCTGCTCTACACGAGGCATGGAATAATATACCTCCCCAAACCCTCAAGAATTTGTGAGAGAATCTTCCTACACGGGTGAAGGATGTGATTAAGCGTAAAGGACGCAGCACCAAGTATTAAAGCATCAGTAAGTGTGCAAATATATATGCTATAATCTTTCATGGTATTTGTTTGTGTTTTGGTACATGTGTGGGGGAGGGGCAGCATAATGCCATGACTAGCACTGTATATGCGTGCACACACACACACACACACACACACACACACACACACACACACACACACACACACACACACACACACACACCGAGTACCGGCCAGTGAAGAGGAGGGGCCAGGAGCTGTGACTCGACCCCCTGAAACCACAACTAGGCGAGTACACACATGCACATACATATATACATTTGTGCACAAATAGCAGCAGCATCAGTTACTGTGTCCAATGATATTACTAATAAACATGCAAATATTTCCTCCATGGAGAAGTGGAAAAGAATTCTTCCTTTGAAAGCCATGTGTGTCGTAAGAGGCGACTAACATGTCAGGAGCAAGGGGACATTAACCCTTTCTCCTGTATAAATTATTAAATTTAAAAAGAAAAATTTTAATTTTTCTTTTTTTTAGTTAACTCTGCCTTGGTGGAATACAGCCAGTGTGTTGAAAAAAATATAAAAATTTCCTTAAATAATATATTACCTGGGTTGATGTCTTTATCAGCAATGAGGTGTCTTCCCTGGGATGGTGTGTAGGCCACCTTGACACTACTGCTCAATGATGGCATAGTAGGGTTGACCTCTGATAACTTTGGTGGCTCAGGATTTGTATAAGCAAATGACAGATGAGAAGACTTTAAAGATTCTGCTGTGACTTCAAATGGCTTGTCTTTTCCCTCTGATATTAATTTTAGACATCTGGCTTTCATTTCAATCATTTTACATGAAATTTTAGAGGAATCAAGTTCCAAAGAACGATCAATATCCCTTGAGCATTTTTCATACTGCTTTAGAGCAAAGAGTACAGCAGACCGAGACTCATAGCCTCGGGCCAAACATTTATACATTTCTGTGTCATGGGCCTCAACATTATCTGCCAGAATGTCTGGATGAGGTGCAGTTACAATGGCCCAATTATAACATTTTAATGCTGTATCTAGATCATTAATTTGGTAGGCACTATCTCCTTTTTGCAAATGAAATGAAGAAAGGGAATCTTTCTTGCCAATAACAGGTAATATCACTGGTGTCAGTGCCTTTTGAGCTTCATCCAAGCTCCAAATGTATGAAAACATTTCTTCTATTGTTCGTTCTGGCCAAATTTTAGTTGTTTCTTTAAGTATCTCTTTGCTCAACAGCCTCATTTTAATCATATTTGCAGAAAAAGAATCAGTCATATGTTTAAATTCTCTTATGTTTTCATTAGGTACTCCCTCCATTTCAAGAGAATCTGAAAGGAGTTAAATTTGTCTTTTTGAAAGAAATTCACATTACTACTAAGGCCAATATTTAATTAAATCATCTAGATTTACACAATATCAATGGTAATGCAGTTTGCTTACATTAATTCCTTAATTTGATTATGCTACACTTTTGCTTGTTCATATGAGTAATAAAGATTGAAGGGCTTATAAAATGCAGAACAAAGCCACTGGATTAATTCTTGGATCTCCTTGCTTAAGAAAAAATATTTAATATGCAAAAAACAAACTGGGCAAGCCTATTTCTAACCCTTCTAGAATTTAGTATTACAGCAGTAAAGGATCATAAAAACCAGTCTAAGATATTTACAGTATTGTATTACATTAAATTCACTTGCCATTTTTTACTTTTTTTTTAGATTGTCTTTAAATAAATTACTAATAGACTGTAAAATCAACAGAACACACATGCAAACAAGTATATCCAGTACAAGATATTTTCACGACTACAAGGATATCTCCACCAAATCATAACACTGCGATTATATAATTGCAAATTAAAAAGGAGAATGATAAAATAATTTGTATGTGCTCTATTATGTGAAGGACACATCCATGTGTCTAGATGAAATAATCAAAATGGTTCCCTAAAGAAATTACAGTACATAAATCCTTTGGAAGAATTATGTATGTATAAGTATATCCAATGTTCAGTCATCAATCACAAAATGTCATTTGTTTTGTATTGAATCAATAGCTTTTAATACAATGCCAACTTGGCATTGAAAATTCTGTCTTTCTCGCAAACATAATTTTTCAACTAATTTCTTGATGAAAAATATCACTTAATCAAGTAATCTGGAACTTTAGTTGCCAGATTACATGTAGAAGGTTTGGCAAGTTACATTATCGTCTATTAGCAAACTATTTTTGTATCATACCATAACAAAATAAATGAAATGTTAGAGGCACTAAAAGTTTCAAAGGAGGGACAGAATGAAGACCCCGGTGAACTCTAAAATACAGTCAGCTAATCACTATTAAGGCTTGTGAGCAGTCACCTATTTGACTGTCTTAGTAATAATGAAGTACCCATTGTTAATAAAAGGGATAAGCATAGGGTGCTGAGCTGTGTCCTGTCTTCAGTAATGTTTTCATTCTATTTTTTCTAAATTTCCAATAGATGTAGCACTTACTACATTGGTTTTTAAATTCATCACTCCACTACGTTATTTCCAAAGAAAAGTTTTTTGGCTCCATCTCTTCTCGAATTTGAACTGCGAACTTTTATTCTAACTGAAGGTGGTGCTAACAAAAATTTTCTTTATCTAACAATGTTGGGACTTAGTTGCTGGATCCATTATGATGCTCTGCATCTTGTCATGTGAAATGCAATTATCAAATTCAGAATATGGATTTCATATCTATATTGTAATTACCTAAGTACATGTATATGAATAAAGATAAAATTATGTATTTAGGACAGCAACATACAAAAGTATGTCACTGTGCTCATATCTGTAATATATTACTGTACATATAAGCTATTTGTACTCAGTGGTAACAAACGGTGCATTATAGAATTTGTAATTAAATTTATACATAGTATTAAAGTATTGTACATAACAGTTTGTACTCATTTTTATTATAGTACCATATGTAATGTATTTCTAAGATAACCTTCATTCAGTTTAAAAAAAAAATCTTTCATGGATTACCTATTACACATTTATACAATGGTTGCAAAGCAAAATTCTTTGTAGTACAGACACTGGTAGTAGATTATGTATATTTATTGAAAGATAAGTCATTTTGACTTTTTTGGGTTATCCTAGGTAATTTACATGTATATTACTATATTTACGTGTACTTATTGCTAAATAAACTTACATCCATAAAAACTTGTGTACGACTTACTTCCACGATTTATATGGGTTTTCTGTTTGTTTTACAACCCTAAATTGTAATTTTTATGAGGATCTAGAGGGCACACAAGTGTTAGGGGCACATGTGCCCTTAACACATGCATGCCCTCCAGACCATTTTACAAAAAAAAAATGAATTTAGGTTTGTAAAACAAATAAAAACAATATATTAATAAGGAAAGACACACTGAGCTTTCTTGTATTATCCTTGGATATATTTACATAATCTACCACCAATGTCTGTACTTAAAAGAATTGTGCTTAGTAAGTTTATTTAGGTACAGGTACACATAAATACAGTTACACAAATTATCATACATAGCAACATGTGTCTAAATTACTCAGGATAACCCAAAAAAGTCAGACAAAGTGATTTATTTCCATTGGGGTCCTTTACTTATTTTCACTGGAGTCCTTTACTTTTCACTGAAGGTCCTCATCTTATTTCCAAGGGTCCTTAACTTATTTCCACTACAGTCCTTATTTCCATTGGGGTCCTTGGCAACATTAGGTACTGTAGTTAACCTACATTATTATTACATTTATTGGAAAATGCTAAACCCACTTTTTGACCATACAGTTGCTTAGGGAATGGAAGGCAATTAGGTTCGATCCGAGGGAAGAGAGAGTTAGCTCCAATGCCTTGAATCATGAGCCCTTCCCTGACATCAAGCCACTTCCTTAAAAAAGTTTAACTTAGAATAGCACAATAAAATCAATATCCAGTATGACTATGTCCATTGGGGTCTGTTAAGGTCCTATTATCATTATTATTAATTATTACTAGTAATTATTATTATTATTATTTATAAACTTTATTGATGGACAACAGAGACGTATTTGGCATTCTTCTGTGTCTAACTTACTAACTAATAATAAGCTTTGATGGTAGGTAAGTAAATTTATTTAGGCAAGGGTACATATAAATAGTTACACAATTTATCATACACCGTAACGTGTGTAAATTACCTAGGATAACCCCATAAAAGTTACAGACAAGGTGGCTTATACTAACACATCTTTAATATATCGTGAATCTAAAACGAATCATTGCCTAGATAGTGCCAAGTATTGATTAAATCCAATGACGCTACCAATCCAACACTTAGTACTTATACAATTGAAATTAGTTACCCTGGCTCACTTTTTGGGGGTTATCCTGGGTAATTTACTCGCATGTTACTATGTATGATAATTTGTGTTAACTGTATTTGTGTACCTGTACCTAAATACTTACACTGCATACACTGTATGAACCTCGACCACTTTCTATACTGCAGGAAACCTCACCTCCTACTGTCTACACTGCAGGAAGCCCCACCTCCTACTGCCTACACTGCAGAAAGCCTCACCTCTTACTGTCTACACTGCAGCAAGCCTCAGCTCTTACTGTCAACACTGCAGGAAGCCTCACCTCCTACAGTCTACACTGCAGGAAGCCTCACCTCTTACTGTCAACACTGCAGGAAGCCTCACCTCCTACTGTCAACACTGCAGGAAGCCTCACCTCCTACTGTCTACACTGCAGGAAGCCTCACCTACTGCCTACACTGCAGGAAGCCTCACCTCTTACTGTCAACACTGCAGGAAGCCTCACCTACTGTCAACACTGCAGGAAGCCTCACCTCCTACTGTCTACACTGCAGGAAGCCTCACCTCCTACTGCCTACACTGCAGGAAGCCTCACCTCTTACTGTCTACACTGCAGCAAGCCTCAGCTCTTACTGTCAACACTGCAGGAAGCCTCACCTCCTACAGTCTACACTGCAGGAAGCCTCACCTCTTACTGTCAACACTGCAGGAAGCCTCACCTCCTGTCTACACTGCAGGAAGCCTCACCTCCTACTGTCTAAACTGCAGGAAGCCTCACCTCTTACTGTCTACACTGCAGGAAGCCTCACCTCCTACTGTCAACACTGCAGGAAGCCTCACCACTTACTGTCAACACTGCAGGAAGCCTCACCACTTACTGTCAACACTGCAGGAAGCCTCACCTCTGTCAACACTGCAGGAAGCCTCACCACTTACTGTCAACACTGCAGGAAGCCTCACCACTTACTGTCAACACTGCAGGAAGCCTCACCACTTACTGTCAACACTGCAGAAAGCCTCACCACTTACTGTCAACACTGCAGGAAGCCTCACCACTTACTGTCAACACTGCAGGAAGCCTCACCACTTACTGTCAACACTGCAGGAAGCCTCACCACTTACTGTCAACACTGCAGGAAGCCTCACCACTTACTGTCAACACTGCAGAAAGCCTCACCACTTACTGTCAACACTGCAGGAAGCCTCACCACTTACTGTCAACACTGCAGGAAGCCTCACCACTTACTGTCAACACTGCAGGAAGCCTCACCACTTACTGTCAACACTGCAGGAAGCCTCACCACTTACTGTCAACACTGCAGGAAGCCTCACCACTTACTGTCAACACTGCAGGAAGCCTCACCACTTACTGTCAACACTGCAGGAAGCCTCACCTCCTACTGTCAACACTGTAGGAAGCCTCACCACTTACTGTCAACACTGCAGGAAGCCTCACCACTTACTGTCAACACTGCAGGAAGCCTCACCACTTACTGTCAACACTGCAGGAAGCCTCACCACTTACTGTCAACACTGCAGGAAGCCTCACCACTTACTGTCAACACTGCAGGAAGCCTCACCACTTACTGTCAACACTGCAGGAAGCCTCACCACTTACTGTCAACACTGCAGGAAGCCTCACCACTTACTGTCAACACTGCAGGAAGCTCCAACACCCGTACAAAGCTCCAACACGTCTGCTCTCTGCAGCAGTCACAGGTTAATCTGAAGGAGCGGAAAAATCGATAACCGGTTCTTAGGGTCGACGCTTCCGTACGGTACACGTACAGTACGAAAAATAGTACGGGGCACCGGTATTCGTTAGCATGTATTGATCCTGTGGTGACGTTGCAGTGAAAATTTGGTTTTGATATATTTTTTTAATTGTTTCAGTTTTATAGGTTGCCCCTTTTCTTTGTATAGAAATTCGAGGCGATTTTTGGTTACGTTGATCTGTGTGACATATGGGGTGAGCGCTAAACCCGGGTGGGTGGGGAGGTTTTTATAATTCACCCGTGTTACCTGTCCAACAGAAAATCGTCTGTGTTGTTCCAGGGACATAGAAGTGTAACTAAAGACTTTGAATTAGGAACCCCACAGGGAGGTTCCTGATCAGTTCCTGATCAGCCGGGCTGTGGCTCGTACGTTGGTTTGCGTGCAGCCAGCAGCAACAGCCTGGTTGATCAGGCGCTGATCCACCAGGAGGCCTGGTCACAGACCGGGCCGTGGGGGCGTTGACCCCCGAAACTCTCTCCAGGTAAACTCCAGGAGGTGTGCTCAGTCCCACACTGTTCAATATTCTAATTAATGCAATACTTAATGCTATGCCTAGTCAGCCCCATCATTATGTGATTAGTATTGCTGATGACATAATGATTCACACCACCGGATTCTCCAACACCCAAAACATTCTTAATCATGTACTAGCCTCGTGTCAGGACTTGGGGTTGATAATCTCTACTGATAAAACAAAGATACTCAATAGACGTCCTCCTCGACAGAGAGGCACAGTTCGTCAGATCCAATTGCATGATGGGTCTCTTCTAGAATATGTAAGAAGATACAGGTATCTAGGCTTTGAGGTTCCACTACTTGGACCTGTTGTAACAAGACTTTGTCGCCAATACAAAGAAAGACTAAGAGCACTTAGAGTTGTGGCAGGGCTTCACCCCAGGTATGGTGCTAATGTTAAAATTGTGAAAATGATGTATCTTGCTTATATTAGATCATTGGTTGATTATGCTGCGCCACTACTTGCTCTTGTGTCTGACTGGAAGCTTGGAGGGCTGGAAAAACCGCAGAACGAAGCAATGAGGATCATTTTAGGATGCCCTCGTACTGCCAAAATTTTAAATATGCAAAAAGAACTTGATATTCCAAGCATCAGAGATCGTGTTACTGAACCAGTTACAATTAAACTGTCAATCTTTGATACATAGATGCATTTCAGTGCAAGGAGTATGGCAAACAGTTCTGTCTGAAGGGTAGAGGCCCAATTATTGATGCGTGCTCCAATTTCTTTAAGAGAGCCATCACTCTGTACGACAACAGCAGCACTACCAGCTGCACCAGTGGATTGGTGAACAGAACCATCAGCGTAAATAATTTGCGAGAGTGTGTGCTGTGTGACTAAGTTATCAATACAGCTTAAGGCCTCATGTTTGGCTTCAAGGCGAAGTTTTGGTTGTGATTTAAGAAGTAGTTTGGGGGAAATGGAGGAATGGTAGTTTGGAATAGGGTAATATTCCATGGAGCGGAGAAGTGCCGCTGTTGCCTTACCTGACATAGATCATGTATCTGATTCATGCGGAGGTCGGTTCCAGTTTTTTCGATCCATCTAGAGGAGTGTTCACCAGTGCTGAGGAAAGTTTGGAGGGCTTCTGTGCAGGGGTTTGAATGAACTTGCCTGAGCATATTAACCCCAATTAGGATATTTCTTTCAGTAACACGATCTCTGATGCTTGGAATATCAAGTTCTTTTTGCATATTTAAAATTTTGGCAGTACGAGGGCATCCTAAAATGATCCTCATTGCTTCGTTCTGCGGTTTTTCCACTAGGAATTTTTATTGACCTAAGAAAAGCTTTTGACACAGTAGACCACGACATCCTACTCCACAAACTTGATCACTACGGTATAAGAGGCCATGCGCTTGCTTATTTCAAATCTTACATTACTAATAGGTATCAGTAGTCACCATTAAAGACACAGCATCAGCAACACGGCCACTTGATACTGGAGTTCCGCAGGGAAGTGTCCTTGGTCCCCTGCTCTTCCTCATATACATCAATGACCTTCCAAACGTATCCCAACACCTGAAACCCATTCTCTTTGCTGATGACACGACTTATGTCATCTCTCACCCTAATCTTGCCACCCTCAACACCATTGTGAATGAGGAGCTGATTAAAATATCGACTTGGATGACAGCCAATAAACTTACGCTTAACACTGACAAAACCTACTATATTATGTTTGGTAGCAGAGCAGGAGATGCACAAATTAACATTAAGATTGACAACACTCTAATTACCAGAAATAATGGTGGAAAATTCCTAGACTTATACCTTGACAACAACCTGAATTTCAGCACCCATATCCAGCATATAGCCAAAAAAGTATCCAAAACGGTTGGGATCCTCTCCAAGATACGATACTACGTGCCGCAAAATGCCCTTCTCACACTATACCACTCATTTATCCATACCTCACCTATGCTATTTGTGCTTGGGGATCAACTGCAGCAACACACCTAAAGCCAATAATAACCCAACAAAAAGCTGCAGTAAGAATAATCACTAAATCCCATCCCTGGCAACACACCCCCCCACTCTTCATAGATCTAAACTTACTCCCAGTTCAGTACATCCACACTTACTACTGTGCAATCTACATCTACAGGGCCTTAAACTCTAATATCAACCTTGACCTAAAACGCTTTCTTGATAGTTGTGACAGAACCCACAGGCATAACACCAGACACAAACATCTCTACGACATTCCCCGTGTCCGACTAAACCTTTACAAAAATTCAATGTATGTCAAAGGCCCTAAAATCTGGAATACCCTACCTGAGAACTCTAGAACTGCAGACACATTCATCACCTTCAAAACTACCATTAGAAAACATCTTATCTCCCTGATACACCCCGTCAACTAACTACACGAATACCACCTGGTGGTTCACACTTACACACTCACTCATTTGACCATAAACAGAAATATTAATCTCAGTCTTAAAATAATGAATCCTGTGATACTCCAATACTGAAACTATGTACTGTGCCAAAACAAAAGCATTCACATTGCTAAACTCACAAACTAGTATTTAGTCACTTAGCCATAATACCAACTTACCTCATAATTTGTAATATTTTGCAATTAAGAATAAAACTAAGTATGCCCGAAATGCCTAGCCATGCTAAGCGTTCTAGTGGTACACTCTGTAATCACAATTTTACTACATGTAAACCAAACAATAACCAAATTTCTGTAAACTCAGCATTGTAATCCTTATAGAGAATAAACTTTGAATTTGAATTTGAATCCATAAATGCTCTCAACTCATTAAGCATAAATTGTGGCATGCTTGTGTCAGAAGCCAGACAGGTATGGTAGGATTGTGGACAGTGGAGTCAGAGTGCACATGCTGTGGATTCCATCTCACATTGGTCTTCAGATGCATGATAGAACTGATAAATTGGCTAAGCTGTATGCTTTCAAAGAGGGAGTAGATTACAATCTTGATAAATTAGACACATGTGCAACTCTTGGGTATCTTTATTGAGGAAACGTTTCGCCACACAGTGGCTTCATC